AAAAAAAAAAATGCTGTCGTGGAAGCTAAACTAAATTCACTTACTGAGAACCGAAAAGTAGCAGATCCATTCCAACTGAATCGAAGCAAATGGTGTTTCTCAGCCTCATCGCTTCCTTCCACTTTTCCCTTCCTTAACAAAATAAACCAAAATAACAACATTTGATGGAAAACGTGGGATACATTCTGACAAGGAAAGACTAGTATTTTGTGATCCTTATTGCCAAATATTCTTTGGTGAACCAAAGTGAATTTGCTTGAAAGGATACTCTTAGTTTTCTGCAAAGGAGCATCACTTTCCAGTTTTGAAATCTTTATATCTCCCTGCCCCATCTCAGTGAGTTTGTTATAGTTTACTATCAGCCTGGAATGAGTGCAATAATTCCTTAATAACAAAATACCAATTATTCCTTTTCAGTTTTCTTGAGGCATAACTAACAAATATATGAGATTCTTTGGCTGTCTTCTAGTCTACTTCTTCCAAGTGTGTCTGGCCATTACTGGAGATTTAGGGCATCATTTGCTTAGGACCCTGTGACTTTTGTCTTTATCCTGACATCCTACTCTTTAAAGTTTAGAGCAGGAATATACATCTAGTCCAGCTTGCTCTCTTTACAGATAAGAAAATTAAAGCCAAAGACCTGAATCCTAGAACATGGTTTATTTGATTCCAAACTCCTGAGCCCCCAAAATGACAGAATTGCTCGATTAACAAACTTCAAGAAAGGCCAATAGAGCTGGTGGTGGAGGACAAAGGAATAGATCCAAAGAATTGTTCAACTGACTGTTTTGAATCTCTGTGTAGGGGGCAGTATCACACCACTGTAAATAGCCTACTAGTGTGGGATCTGAGAGGGGTAATCCCAGTCTCCTCTTCCTTGGTCCTCATTTCTACTCTGAAATTCAAGGAATGGAAAATGAATTTGCTTCCCAGAAATATGGTAGTAAATAAAAATTCAAAGTCAGTTCTGGTAACACAGGAGAGGTGAAAATGGGTAAAACCAAATCTAATGAAATTACAGTGGATTAAAAGTAGTCACACATATTACATATGAATGCACAGTTGTACCTACACCCTTTGTCCTCCTTTCCCATTAGAGCACAGTACTGACTGTCTTTTGTAAAGCACAGATGAATATAGCTTTAGGTTTCCAAACAGAAGTTACAAAGCAAACTGCCCACAGGCTATTTAGAGAGCGAACTCTATGAAACAGGATTCTAAGAAACTCTACAAAGCCTTAAGATAGCATCATTACTGTGAATTAGCAAAATAAGGGATCATGTAGTGTGAAACCCAGATTTATTCCTGATTCTATCACTAACTCTATAAATAGCAATTTAGGAAAGTTATTCCTCTATTGGAAATGAAATGACACCAATAAAACTAGCAATAGTGACTTGGCCAGAAAATCTGGAAGTCTATTAAAAATCAAAAAATGTTCACCTATTCATTTTACTTGACTTCAAATGTAATTTTTCCAGTTGATTTTAGATCGTAGTCCAAGATGTTAAAATTACTATTTAACACAACCCTTACTATGAGAAACATGCATGGGTTCCTTGTAGTAGATTTAATAGCTTTAATGATCCCTAGTTAAAGACTTCCTTTTGTTCAGGGTCTTCCCTTCACACTTTGTCCTCCCTACTCTGAGTTCAACCATATGATTTACTCTGGCCAATGGGACAATAGCAGACTTGATGTAATTGAAGTCTTGGAAAATGTTGGTGCATTTCTGCATCTACTCTTGAAATTCTGCCATCACCAAGAGAGCTAACCTGCTGGAGGAAGAAAGACCCTGTAGGGTGGAGCTAAGTCATCGTGGCTGAGGCCATCTTTGACTAGCCAGCCCTCAGTTGACTTCAGAGGCACTAGCAAGTCCAAATGAGATCAGCCAGGCTTCATTCAGACCGTAAGACCATGTACCAGACCATAGACTCATGACGGATAATAGATGGGTACTTTTGTAAGCTACTACCTCAATCATCTAGTGCTACATAACAGAGCATGCCAAAACTTATAGGCAAACAAACAAATGAATAAACAAACAAAAAACCAGCTACTTACTATTTCTCATGACTCTGTGGGTCAACTAAGCTCAGCTGAGCAAAGGCTAAGATCACTCACTTAACTGCATTTAACTGGCAGCCAGACAGAGCTGGAAGGTCCTAGAAGACTTCATTCACATGTCAGGCATCTCAGTCCTCCACACAACCGTTTACTTTCCATTTGGTGGCTTGAACTTCCTTACAGCAAAGTGGTCAGATATCTGTGGCTCATGGCTTCTAAGAGACGGGAACTGGAATTTGCTAGTTCTCTTAAAGACTGAGCTTGGAAGTGCTGAAACATTATTTCCGGTTTGTTCAATTGGGCAAATCAAGCACCAAGACCAACTAGATTCAAGGAAGGGGGGAATAGACTCTGCTGTTTGATTTTATGGGCAGCATGTATGGAAAAAGAATAGAAGGGCTTGGTGGCAACTTTTTTTTTTTTTTGTTCAGAGATAACATCAATAACATCACCCGTTGAGCTTCTAGGTGCTTTATTATACCACATTAGATAACCAGTACTGTGAGGATTCAATTTGACTTGCCTTCTTGCCACCTTGAGGCCATACTAAGTTGAAACCACATGATTGCCCTGAGTAACCCTCATCTTTTTTCCTACATAGCTTCCCAGAACTTTATAACCAGACCCTAATGTGATCAATGTCAGGAATATGCCTGATGTCTTTGATATTAGCTTGAGACAACTCAGGTACATTCTGGTTTGGATGAAGCTGTTTTTGTCTTGACCACGGTAGAATCCCCCTCCCTCACACTCAAATGATCCATCAATCTTGCTGGCAACCAAGACACACTTGTGTTTATAAGCCCCCAGTGGATTCTGCTCTGTGCAATCCTGAATCTTTCTTCAGTCTCACAGCATCTTATGGCTAGTTCTCATACGTGGGGACCAGGATTCTCTAGAACAGACACATTCTTTGTAACTATGGGACTTTAACTTTGTAACTATGGAACTTTAGCCTAGTTACAAATCCTTTCTAGGTCTTTCTATGAAATGAGATGTGCACATCTGCAGATGTGCACTACTGTTTCTGGCTTCCTATATATCTTGATTTTCTAATTTCAGAGGGCTAGTTTACCATGGGGATCCCATGTTCTCTACTCTCAAGTTTGCTCACTTTCCCTTCCTTCTCTTCTGTCTTCCCTTTCTTCTATCTTTACTTGTTTGCTTTCTTTCTGGTACGTAATTCTTTTCTTATTCCTATTCATCTTCTTGTTCCACATGAGAGAATTAAAAAGAA